CACCTTCCACTGATTATATTTGGAAGACGCCTAACCCGAAGTATGCGATTACCTCAAGTGACTTTAATGAAAATACAACCCCAGAATCGATCACGACTGCCCCGCACAAGAATCCAACTCTCGTGTCTAAGATGAAGATGAAGTTTACAGAAGTGTCACGGACAACAGCCGCCACGCCTGCGACTCTATTTACAGATGAGAAGGTCAAATTAAAGCAGTCGGAAATACCTTCCATTGATGGTGCGTCGAAGAGACCTAATGTAAAGGACGAGGCCTCGGGGCGTGAAGTTGATACGTACACACTTCCACAGGCAATCACGACTGCTCCTCAAAAAAAAGTAACACCTCTGGCGAGGATGAGGACAAAGGTTACAAAAGCTGCACCGACAATAGCTGCAACTGAACCACGCGATCCTGTAGAGGCGGAGATGGATTTAATACGGTTGAAAATACCCCTCATTGATTTTGCAATGAAGATAGCTGAACCGAAGTATCGGGTTAAGGCTCGTCGTGTTTATGCAAGTTTAAGAAGAGTTGTGTACAATTTCAATTCAAAAAAGCTGAAAGCCATTAATTCAGACCTAATTATTGCTAAGAAAAGCATCGATAAAGCAAATTTTATACTTGTTGAAAGTCGTCTCCAGAAAGCGAAAGAATATATCCAACGTGGTGGCGCAGTAAGGAAATTAGAAAAGGTACGAACAATAGATCCAACTACGCTTTTCATATTCAATGAATGGGAGATTCAAATGATGAAGTCCAAAATGTCCCGTTTCCGCCAGTTTTTAAAGTTCGCAGATCAGAAGAAATTTGCTACCTTACTTCAATTGGAACCAAATTATTTGAAAAACATATCTAACATGGACAAGAAAAGACTGCAAGAAATTAATTTGATGATAGATGATTGCGTTCGAAAGTGTCTCAGTGTGATGTATAGGATTGCAAAAGGCCCTTTAAAAGATGGCACACTAAAAATTGATGTTCTTTGATGTACACAATTTATTTT